GGCGTTGGCGTTGGCGTTGGCGTTGGTGTTGTTGTTGGTGTTGGTGTTGGCGTTGGCGTTGGTGTTGGTGTTGCTGCTGCTGCTGCTTCTTTTTCTTTTTCTTTTTCTTCCACTGCTGGTGCTGGTGCCAGTGCGGGTGCGGGTGCTGCTGCTGTTGCTGTTGCTGTTGCCGGTGCCGTTGCCGTTGCTGTTGCGGCTCCTGTTGCTGCTGCTATTGATGTTGCTGCTCTGATTATTATTGCTGCTGCTGCTACTGCTGCTGCTTCAGGTTTTGACGGAGCGATCAACCAGACTCTTTAAAACAAGATGGCCGACCATATCATCAAGCAATCGTAATCTGCTTCTTGCCAGCCTTCATCTCAGCTTACTGTGCCGCCCGCAGCTTGTGGACCGATGCATCTGTTGAGCTTGAGGCGCAGCCGGAGCAGACGTGGGAAGAGGGCACATGGCATGCGAACGGCGTGCCTTGAATTCGATACACTTGGGTTTATCGAACTTTCTAATTGAGCCCTTGAAGTCTTGAGGGTTCAGGATGTGGTGCATGTTGTGCCCTCCAGAGAACGTGGGTTTTTGCACTCCAAAGAGGTAAATCAAATCGGCGACAATTCCGCCGGAAACTTTGCATCATCAGTACATGTACCCGGTCGCAGTCAAGTATATGCCCAGAACAGCCCAAAGCCATCCGAAACCCATTTCTCATCGAGGCACTGACACTGGAGTCCATAGCACTCAAAAGGCCGTATGTTGATGCCCTAATCCTGCATCACAGGTCGAATAAATCTCATCGGCAACTGCCATAACAGCTAGCAGCACCTGGACCATGGATGCCAAATCATACACCTTAAGGATCCATCTGATGAGCCGGAGGTGCGGACAGAGCAGACATGGCAAGAGGGCACATGGTCTGAGAATAAAGCTCCTTGCCTTCATGATCCACTTGTGCTGACGGAAGTTAAGGAGGTGTTATTTTCGGTTTTCGGTTCAGGGTTGAGGGAGGTTTAGGATTTAGGATTGAGGGCTTAGGGTCTGGAACACAAGGGTAAGAGCGGGGATCCAGGATTGCACAAGGAAGCGTGTCTATGGGCTGGGACGTAGCGTTGAGCTCAGAGTTCCAAGGGATGCGCCGAATTGTGTTTGTTTCGGTTGTGGCGAGCGATCGCCAGCACAGCGTTTGGGCAAAGACCGAATCCAAGGATATCCGTGGTATCCACGGATTGAAAATTGTCTGGCGTCAGCATTAGGGTTTTTCCTGTATGAAACTCCCGACAGTCGGGTTGCCGATGTAGTAGATATCGAGCCGTCTATCCCTAATACACGCTGTCCGAAGAAGAGGCTCGTTTACAGTCTCAGGACACGTTTGGGAAGCCTCGACATGCCATGATTCTAAAACGGAATACCGGCGGCAGACTGCCTGCTTGCGATCCTAGCAATGGAAGTGGTAGTAGTCGTCGTTGTCGTAATGACGCAGCAGCACTAGCAGCAGTCGCCACATAGGAGCAATCGTATCAATATGAACCTGCAGAACGACGACACCGTCGAATCCTTCCCGGCATGGCGCAAACGCGTGGCTCCGCACATCCAGGATAGTATAGAGTCTACAGAGCTTAAACCTAAACCCTGAACCCTAGACCCCAAAATAATCCTCGACCCTAAAGCCAAATTTAACCTCGGGATACTTTTGGCTCTACTTTGTCTCCCCGCAATCTTTGGAACACTTGTTAAAGTTTCCCCGAGCATCTAGCTTGAAGAGCGGAGGGGAATTCATCCTGGAAAGTACGAAAACTTTTCAACTAGCCATCGTGGTCCAAATGGTATAGCTGAAGGACGTAAGGTAGCACGGGTGGGGAAAGCTTTGAATACTATTGCCTCGCCAACCCTAAGCTTGCGCAGCGTGCCAGATCCCTGGGTTCTTGTTAAGGGATTTAATTTAAGTTACCATAATAGGGAAACCATATTATTTACTATAGATCCCTATTATGGTAACTTAAATTAAATCCCTTAACAAGAACCCAGATCCGGATGAGAGCTGCAGGTATTCTCTGACATACTGGGGTGGGATCCGCTTGATAAGCCTAAACCTTTCTTTCATACACACTTATACATTACCACGATTCGTTGTCTAAGGCAAATCTAGCCTTAGTCCACGACCGGCGTCAGGAATTGGTCCACGTGTTGCCTTCGTCTGCGAATCTCTTCAAGAACTGGTCCCCCTGATTTTGACACAGGGCTCGGTTCCTGGACTACGGCAAATCTTGCCTCCACGAGTCGTGTCGAACTAAAGGGGACCAGTACCCGACCAGATTCGTTGACTAAGGCAAGTTTTGCCAGAACTAGCCAAAATTTAATATGGAAGACAAGGCAATGTTAGTTGATGTTGCTACACACCCACTACTACATGAGAACTTGCATGTTCTTAATGTTACGGGGTTCTTGGTTGGGTAGGTGGGTTGTTGCCTAGGTTCCAAAGACACAGTGCTGGGCTAGTGATTTCTTACCCGAG